TACACGCGGGCACACACACCCATGAGTCTCCTCAGAGCATGCTCATGCCAAGCCTTGTGCCAAGGTCACCCCTCATGCCAAGGACTGTGACCCTGTGAAGCCTTCCCAACCCTTGAGGCAGTCACCCACTCTTCCTCTGTGTCCCNATGCCAAGGACTGTGACCCTGTGAAGCCTTCCCAACCCTTGAGGCAGTCACCCACTCTTCCTCTGTGTCCCACTCTGGATTCTCCCTATTGACTTGTCTGTCTCCTCCACTAAACTGGGAGATCTTTGTAGTGCTTAGCACTAAGACAGCACTCAGTGCCTGGTACTTGGTATGTGCTTTGGACCTGTATCTTTGTGCAAATAGATAAATGCCCTGTGCCCAGTTGTGCAAACACAAGGCATTTACAAGCTGCATCCCTGGTCCCACCACCTCTGCCGGGTTCTGTCTCCTCCAGCCCCACCCATAGAAGCCCAAATACTCTGGGATCACTAGCTCCTATCAATAGGGAGACAAGAATATGAAAACTAAAATGCTTTAGCATTAGGAGCTTGGATCCAACAATAATTTATCAAAAATGTATCAGTCATTAGCTAGAGAAGTATTTCTGAAACTTTTCTTGTGCCTACACAGCACTTGGGGATCTAGTTAGTATGCAGATTCTGATTCAGTAGGTCTGTGGTGGAGGCCAACATTGTGCATTCCTAACAAGCTTCTGGGAATGCTGGACCATTGACCACACTCTGAGTAGCAAGTGAGTCCAGCCATGGACCCTAGTGTAACCATGTACCTGCCCTGGCACTGTCAGCAACACATATTCCCATGGGCATGTTCACCTGTGAGTGGGCATGCATTTACACCTATGTCCACCCAAACACAACTGCCATCTGGACAAGTTCAAGAGTTACCTTGGGTGTCAAGATCCTGCTGCTCCGTAACCTTCCCCACTTCCTGATCCCTCTCCCTGCTGGCCGCTGTTACTGCCTGCTCTCTTTGTGCAGTGATTTAGAGCACAGCCTCTGCAGCCGGACAGTCTCAGCTCAGATCCCAGATCCACCACGTACTAGCTGGGAGACCTTCGACAAATGACTTCACTTCTTTGTGCCTGTTTCCTTGGAAGTAAAATAGAGATGATAGTAATTGTGCCCACATCATAGGGTTACTGGTAGCATTAAATGAGTTTTCATATCTTCTCTCCAAATTGATAGGTGCCGGCTACAGCTCAAGTAATACAGGACAGCAACACCAAACAAAGATCTAGTGCTCAACGTTAATGAATATTGTTGTTTTTGTTTTGTTTTATACTCTGAGTCCCTTCCCCGTTGGTGGAGCTCTCTCCCCCCTCTTTCGGCCTCTCTGATTTCTCCTTGCCTGAGTCCCCCACCACTTCCCTTCTCCCTGTCTCCAATTTTCGGTCACTTCTCGCAGGCTTCTGTTCACCCTTTCTCTGACTCTCACCCTGCCTACTCCCCTCGGCCCTCTTCATACTTGTGGCTTCAAATGTCACTTATTTGCTGGTGACTCCCAGATCTACCTCTCCCGTCTCACCTTAATCCTGAACTTCCAGATCTCTCCTTCCAGTGGCCCACTAGCTATCACTGTCCAGATGCTGAAAAGGCAGAGCGTTCAAAGCTAAGCCCATTATTGTGCCACAACCTGTCCCTCCTATATGTCCTTCCACAGGTAACAAAAGACGTCACCGTCCTTCAGGTCCGGACGCTCCCAGTCATCCTTGCATCTCTCCTTGCATCTGCTGCCTGCTGATTCCTGTCCATCCTACCTCCCTGAGGGCCTATGTCCATCTCCTGCTGTCGCTGCTCTTGCCAGGCCCCTCCTCTGTCACCCATGCATAACAGCTGTCATTGTAACTGGTCTCTCGGTCTCCTGTCCCTCCACCTCATCCTCCTCACAGCCCCCAACATCTTGCTAAAACTGAAATCTGACCCACTCTGGATAGGATGGCTTCTCATTGCCTCCAGAAGAATGTCAGATCTGGCCCCAGCCCACCCTTCCAGCCTCAATTCCTGGCATTTCTGCTGAGTGTGTCCAGCCACACCGGCAGCTCACTGAGCCCTGGAATTGACAGCACCTCCGTCCCTTTACATACCCTGGTTCCCTGCCAGGGAGGCTCTTTCTCCTCTTAGAGGGTTAATTCTTGTGCCTCCTTTTAAGACCCAAATCAAATGTTCTCTCCTTAGCGAAGCTGTCCTAC